AACCTAACACTCATCCCATTATAGATATTTCCTTAGTGTCTCTCGCTTGCGAGGCGAGTCCTCTAACCACTGAGGCTACAGGACTTCAGTGCAGAGGAGTGACAATTCTGATCTACATAATGTGAAACATCAATTAATTTTAAATTGCCATTTATAGTATTTTACATGCACATCCCAGCAATGGAGAGAACAGCAGCCTCACTAGTGTGACTGCCCATCAATCACGCTACAGTGAACAGAGAGTTTTGAGGTCTTTTAAGTCAGTAAATGTAGTGAGTGCCTGAACACTATAACGACTTCCAGTTTCGAAACCATGTGAAATGCACTTTGCCTGTCAAACTGTTATCCCTTCATTGCCTCCTCTCTTCCAGTTGTGAGTCTTGCTGAGGTATGTTCTATGGGTGTCAGCAGCTCTTTTGTAGCTGTTAACTATTCATGATGTGTTAAGCGGACTGTGAATGGCAGGTTACTTTGACATGACAGGCACCAATGCTGGGACATGACTCTTATCTAAATTACACACATTTTCTGTCAATTATTGGTTTGCAATCACTTTAGACTATGTGATTCCAAGACCCAAAGTAGGTCTTGAACCCACAACCTTGTGATTCAGAGGCAAGAGTGCTACCACTGAGTCATCATGGCTAATATACTTTATTACCACTTTATTTATGAACTCTTAGGTCTGAAATTATTCACCTCAATAATGGTGTTCGCTAGCTTATAGCAAACCTTGTGCTTTGATCATATAAAGGATAATCCACATTACATCTACACCTCACAGTCCTACTGAGATTGGAAGAATGGCGTTTCAGAACAGTGGTCCAAAACTGTATGCTACCACTAAGTGGTACAGTAGATTGGAACACAGATTACTGCAAGTTACTGCACTGTTATTGTATTATGGGCAATCTCAGGTTTCAAGCTTTACAGTTTTGGCTACATTCCTCTTGTTATATGTGATTTAGGTTATTCCCAAGAGGCTGCAATATGCTACATGTAGTTAAGATTGAATTACACTGAATAGCATTAACCTGTACTCTACTTGAATTACTGTCCAATCAATAACATTTTATATGGTACTGAATTCTGTGAATGTGATACAACTTAAAAGCACACAATTTAATGAGAATTCAATGAGTATTACAGAACAACGTTCTCAAAAGGGCAACATGCACACTTGAAACAAGAGCTAGAACTTTTACAGCAGGTACTAAATGTACCCCTCACCCTAATATTCAGAATGTTACAGTAATCTTCAGGGATTCACTGTGCAAGTGCTGTACTGCACATGTTTGCATTACTATCCAATTTCTGGTTTTCAATTGAATGTTTCTTTCATTGGTTACTTTGCAGCTGAAGTCAATTACTTTTCTCAGTTTTGAGGGGCATTTACAAGTTTACTGCAAAGATTAACAATAAGTACAAAATGTTACTATCTTAGTAAATTGTCATCATCTAAAGATTGTAACCTCACAGTTTGGTCATTGTCCACCTAGAACCCCACCCCATCTTTTTACGGCTTTGGCTCTACAGACTTCAAGACATGCCTGTATCTCAAAAGTCGCATTTATGAGCCAGATAGGCTGGTCATCCATGAATAATACAGTGGATGCACAATGGGCCAAATGACATTCTTCTGTGCTGTAATATTCTGTGATTATAATAATCCTTGCTTTTGATATAACGCTTTTCACATCTTCTAAACTTCTCAAAGCGCTTCACAGAATATACTTTAAAATGAATTGACTGTATATTTGTAGGCAAAACGCGGCAGCCAATTGTGCACAACAAGCAGTCATGGATTGAAGTGACCAATTTATTATTGATTTTTTTCTTGAGTGATTATCACCAGGTGTGTGGAGTAAGGAAACTTGTCCAAGGTTTTGCCCTGCCGGGAATCAAACCCAGGTCTCTCGCTTGTGAGGCAAGTGCTCTAAGCACTAAGCTACAGGACTCCTGTAATGTTTTATTTGGGAATTTTTTTTAATGGGAATAATTTATTCAAACATTGATAAGTGACAAAATTATTTACTATGCAAATTAAACTATTACATGTATGAAGAGGCCTCATGTTTGGTACAGTTATTTTGATATCTATTAAATCCTTTGATGTGATCAATTACAAAGAGCGTTACCATTTAATATGCTCTACCAAAGCAGTAAGTTATTAATGCAATTAAATTTATTTAGGAAATTTAATTTATTCATGTGATTATCATCCACTGAAGTGAAGCGAGACAGACCAAATTCAAATTTAGGGTCCAAAGCAGTGTATTCTGGAGATGAAATAAGCATGTTCTAATAAGACTGGAAAATTATATTGATTATTTATAATATATTTCTTGCATTGTACTGTATATAGTGCCTACAATATTTAAATGTTTCAAAAGCACTTCACAGATAATTGCTGTCAAGTATACAGATCACTTGTGGGCAAACATGGTTGATCATTAGGTAATCCAGAAGAATGCAGGAAGATACAAGAAGGCTAGCAGATTGGGCATACAGATGGCAAATGAAGTACAATGTAGGAAAATGCAAAGTAATTCACTTTGGCAGGAAAACTGCTAGTTACACAAGTAGATAAGGCTATAAAAAGGCCAATGGAGTCTTGGGCTTCACATTCAGAGAGATATAATATGGAAGTGAGGCAATGAAGTTGAATTTATACAAAACCTTGGTTAAACCTCATTTAGATTATTGTGTCGATTCTGGTCTCAATACTAGAGAAAGGATATGGAACGGTGGAAAGAGTACAGCGCAGGTTTACGAAGATGATACCAAGGCTGGCAGGTTACTGGTATCAGGAATAGATGGGCCTAGAGAAGAGATGTTTAAGGTGGGCCTAATAGAAAGAATTCTAAAAGGGTTCAATAAGATTAACATAAACAGGCTGGTTCCACTGGTTGGGGAGTCCATAACAAGGGACACAAATATAAGTTAGCAACTAGGGGATCAACAAGAGAATTTAGGAAGAACTTCGTCACGCAGAGAGTAATGAGATTGTGGAACTCGCTGCTTGAAGCGTTGGTTAATGTCTTCATCACCTCCAGGCTCGACTATGCAAACCCCTGCTTGTCGGCCTTCCCAACTCCTCCACAAGCTGCAGATAATCCAGAACTCTGCAGCCTGTGTCCACTCCCGCACCAAACTCCGTGACCCCATCTCCCCCATTCTCGCCGGACTCCATTGGCTCCATATCCTTCAGAGGATCCAGTTCAAGATCCAGATCCTCACCTACAAAGCCTTCCATGGCCTCGCCCCATCCTACCTCTGCAACCTCCTAACCCCCTACCAACCCACCTGCTCCCTCCGCTCAGCCGGCTCTGGCCTGCTCCACGTCCCCTGACCCACCCGCCCCACCATTGCCGGGAGAGCCTTCAGCCACTCTGCCCCCAACCTCTGAAATTCCATCTCCCAATCACTCCTCCTCGCTCACTCCTTAGCCTCCTTCAAGTCCTGCCTTTTCGACCATGCCATCGGTCACCCCCCCTTCTCCCCACCTGACCCCACCTTAGGTTTGAAATGCTGTATACTGTCCAGCACCTTGGGACGTCCTCCCGATGTGAAAGGTGCTATACAAATGTAATCTTGTTGTTGTTAAATCAGATGGTATAGCTGCATTCAAGAGGAAGCTAGACCTTCATATGAGGGAGAGGAGAATAGAGGCTATGGGAAGGAGTAAGGACTGGTTGGAGCCTTGTGTGGAATATAAACACTGTCATGGATTGGTTGGGCCAAGTGATCTGTTTCCATGCTGCACATTCTTTGTAAATTTTTGTAAATCTTTGTAAATATGATTCAGTTAGTTCTGCATTTAATGGTTGTATTTTCCAGCAGAAATTGTGTCAATTTTTCAGACATGTCAAGGTACAAACATGTCCAAACTTCTTTAAACGTCATGTTCAATTTCTTTGATATTACTTTTTGTGGCATTTCAATCTAGGTTGCAAATGCCAAATAGGCACCACTGCAAGTTCACTTAATGGCCTTTCAATTATGATGATGCAGTATTTCTTTAAATGAAGAAATTTTAAACCATTCAAGCAAAAATATACTTTGACACATCCTAAATATGATATGAATACAATACATAATCTGCCATCAATCAAATTACAGCTAATTCCTTTCTGATGTCAACATAGAGCAGGGAACATGACTGCTCACTTATATGGTGACATCAGATATGCTGGACAACATATAGGAGGAAGAATTCAAGCCATAAATCCACCATAATAATACTTGCATTTAGTATAGCACCTGGAAAATCAAATGTCTCAAAGCACCGTAAAGTTTTTGTAAAATGTAATGATTATTGGTAGCTACGTTCGCAGATTCAGCTACATGCTAAGAATTCTCACTAAGAATTGTAGGAGAAATGTGGACTTCCAAATCAGTGTCACGCCATGTCATTGGGGATTGATCTTCCAAACTGAAAGTGAGCTTTTGCAGACAAATTTAAACCACATGATTTCTCCAATTGCTAAAGAATTACAAATATGCATCTGGAATGAATGCTAGGCAACCTATGATTCTAATAATGATCCTTACATGGGATATAGCATCTTTCTCGTTGGAAAGATGTCTCAAAACCCTTCAAAAGATACACTGTAAAGTGTAGTGTAAATGCAGGTGAAGACGACAGCAATTTGCATACAGAAAATTACGACAATAACTGTAATATTAAAATAAGATTGAAAACTGAAGAATATGTAATCAGTCAATATTGAATGTTCGATTAAACAAACTTCAAATATGTCTACATTTCCAAAGGTTGTACCAGTCATTTCATAACATACAAAAGGTCACTGAAGGCAAAATTGGCCTTTAAAGTTATCAGCACCAATTCTGACAAGACTGCCATACTGCAATAAATGGACTTAGTGATGTGATGTATTATCATACCATCTTTGTATCGTGCTAGTGAGATAACATTCACATTTACTGCCACTCACAATAATTTCCATAAAACAGCCTGTTTTTCATGCGTCACTCACCTAATCCTTTTTTCTTCAGTCTTTCTCAATGCTTCATCTCGGTTTAAAACTTCCAATATCGTTTGCTTCTCATTGTCCAACAAATACGACAAATTGATGATCTCAGTACTTTTGGACATTTTCTTCAATGCTGACGCCTGTTGCACTCCTGAGATTTAGTGTCTCTGATAAACAAAATTGTTTCAAGAAAAAACTACAGCTTGAGCAATCCAGGTAGCATACCAAATATACTGAACATTGACTCAAGTTGGAGGTCCTCCAAGAATGAACATGACTAATTGCATGATTTTGTCCAAAGAACAATTCTGGGAAATGTGTTTTCTTTCTACTTTTCAAGCATGTATGGATTTTGCTATTCTATCTTTGAAGAAAGATTTTATGAAACTGCTGTTGAGATTTTGCAACCTAATCAGTCTCTCCTCATTCCTATGAGCTTGGTCACTGCCCGTTTATCCTTCTGTGTCACTGAACAACATATTCATGTCTTTGTAGCTGCTTTCATCTTTGTTACTGAAAGAAAAAGAAAAAAAGTCACCAAAAAGAGAATTCTCATGAATACAGTTCATATGTACACTAACTCATTAATACATGTGCATATGTACACTAAAGTATAGCCAAGAAATAGTTCAGCATTTGGCTCCTCCATATGATTCAAGTTACCGTAAGTTCTGAATCTATCCAAAAGAGGTGCTAGGAAAAGGGACTGTAGGGGACCGAGTGAAAGTACAAAGAATGAGTGATACTATAGTAAGTCATTTTTGCAGACTTAATAGTTAAGAATGCCATGGAAACAAATCACCTACCTACATCCTTGCAACACCTGGACTTGCTGTGTGGGGAGGGGAGAGGTTAATGAAGTGGGTAAAGTAAATGTAAAAACAATTAGTGGGAAAAACAAACTAAATTGCTAAAAATGATCTTAACATTTTGTTGTTACGAATGGTAAGAATGCAAAGCTATGCCATCGTAATTTCTTACTATTATTGATGTGCTTCGTAATTCCTTCTCAACACACACACACAAACCTTTGTGATTCATCTACTGTTGTGCAGCCTATTTCCCAAGTGTAAATTGTTCGATTGCAGTATTTACTTATTTCATGTAAGCTCTGAGCAAGAATTCTCACCTTCTTACGCGTGCTGTGAAGCAAGATATGTGCATTAGGTTGGTGTCGATGCCTATTGTAAACCTCTGTCATATTTTGATGCAAGTCAACACTCTACCCAACCAGCAGGTTAATAACTTCTGAAACTAACTCAGATATACATAGGTAAACTCAGCACAATTACTTTTAGTTGTGATCAATCTGACCTTAACTGATTATAGCCTTCTAACAAGGTACTGATCTACCTCAAGGCTTATTCCAGTAAGCGCCTGAGCAAATTTCCGATAATCACAGAAGCAAATGTAGCTCTAAATAGTGTTTAGAATTCATGACTAAGAATGCCTGTAAGGATGCTACGTCGAGAATCTCAAATAAACAAAGCATCTTATCCCTTCATAACTGAATTATTGTTAATTTTCTAGCCATAATTTCCTGAACAAGGACTTTCTCAAAAAGAACTTCCACCTGACATTTCATAGGGTGACACTTCAATGCAGTGTTGGGGGTGTGCTACCTTGTTAGAGGTGCTGTCCTTCGGATTAAACCGAGGAACCTTCAATCTGTTCATCTGGATTAAAGATTCCATGACACTCCAAAGAGAAGGGAATTTCTTCCAGTGTCAAAGCCAACAATTCTCTAAATAAAATTGGTAATTGAATTCATGGTTTTTAGTGCATTAAATTGTCTGCTGCTTTGTGTCTACAAAATATGCAGTCACTACACATTACAGGAAAGCTTGTGAAGGGTTTTGTGACATTCTCCTGACACAAAACGTGCTATATTAAATGTAACTATTATTATTACAAAGAGAGCTAACCATTCTTATTCATCTGTCTAAAAATATTTTTTGCTGATTTGCTATTATCAAAATAATCTAATATTCCATTACTTTCAGTATATGGTTTATCCAAAATAGGTAAGAGGACAATTTTCACTACAGTAAATGCAAACATTTCTATGCTGACATATCCAGTAGGAGAGGTTACGAATTGTAGCAATGCTGCTTACACAGCATTTAACAGATCAAACCAAACATTGTACCATTTAATAAATTTAAATGAAAATCAAGTTAGGTTTTTATTTTGAATATATTTCACAAAAAATAAATATCTGACAAAATAAGAATCAAAATCAATTTGACTGATTAAAAAAAATCTTAAACATTAAATTTACATAAATTTCATATAGATAAATATTATGACTAAAAATTACCTGCAACATTTGACCCTTTAGGAAAAGTTACTGTAAGTCACCAACTTTACAATCGAGCCATGGATGAAATAAACTTTTTACTAATCCTCTCTCCAATTGCTTGATTTTCAACTAATGGTAATCTTCTCACTTGGCAGAAAGGTGAACTGTGGATGTTTGCTATTTGTCTAACTAAATACTGCAGCTTAAGGCTATGACTCATCCTTATCCACCTGCTGCCTATCACATGCAAATAGGTGCACCTTATTTACTTTTCAATTTCAGTGTGGATCATTTGAATAGAAGTCTGATAAATAACAAATAAGAGTTACATTTATAGGCCTTGTGATATTTATCAAATTGAATGGGCCAGAAGTGGGCCCTGACCCCCCACTCCCCAACCACCCACACAGCATTCTCAATGGTGAAGTCCATCAAGAGTTGTTCGAAGTGAAAGACTGCTGACTTACAGATTGCAGGCTTTGATTGTCACTTGATGAGATACCAAGCAATAAAAAGTCTTTATCCTGCTAACACTGAATACTGTTGTTCCAGCTTCACTGTTGCTACTCTGGTTGTACTCCAGTTTTGCACCATCGCTTCCAGCCTTCAAAACCTTAGCAAGAAGATCTCTTTGATCATGGCTTTTGGTCAACGCCCTCAAATTCTCCCCTCCTTTCTTCACTGCCCATGAATCACATAATCTTTGTAAAGCATTTCACGACATTCATAAGTAAAAGGCACTATACAAGTGCAAGCTGTTAACGTGTTGTCACCAAGAGTGGTCAGTGACCAGATACACTAATTAGTCCATTTTCTTGTAATTTAGAGTCACTTTTGCTGTATATTTGTTTTCTCGGTATTTTGTGATTTTCTTATAGAAAATTATAACATAGTTGCTTAGTAATTGTAACATTAAAAAGAGAAGCTATTAAACAAAGTGCTTAATGCAAAGTTTGTTTGGCCAACAGAGGACCACCATGTATCATAGAGGTATTGTATTGATGCTTAGTATTGATGCAACACCGTGCATCAATACCATCTACATGCTCCCCCTTGGTGATGTCATCCGCAGACATGGGGTAAATTTCCACATTTATGCGGTTGACACACAACTCTACCTCTCTGCCTCCACCCTGAACTCCAGGACTACTGGCGTCCTGACCGATTGCCTGTCTGACATCAAGTCCTGGATGAGGGCCAATTTTCTCCAACTCAACGTCAGCAAGACCGAGGCCCTCCTGATTGGCTTGCGTCAGCGCCTCCACACCTCAGGCACTGGCAGCATCAGCCTCCACGGCTGCACACTCAACCTCACTAAGCCAGTCAGGAACCTGGGTATCTTGTTTGACCCTGAACTGTCCTTTCTCCCCCACATCCGCGCCATGACTGCCACTGCCTACTGCCACCTCCGCAATATTGCCAGACTCCGCCACTGCCTCACCCCTCAGGCTGCCGAAACCCTCACCCATGCATTCGTCACATCAAGGCTTGGTTACGGGAAGTCCCTCCTCATCGACCTTCCCAACTATTCTCTTCACAAGCTGCAGATCATCCAAAATTCAGCAGCTCGTGTACTCTCACGCACCAGGCTCCATGACCCCATCACTCCCACCCTCGCACGACTCCACTGGCTCCCAATTCTCCAGAAGATTGAGTTCAAGATCCTCGGCCTCACCTTTAAGGCCATCCATGGCCTTGCCCCTTCCTACCTCTCTGACCTGCTGACTCCCTACCAACCTGCCGACACCCTCCGTTCATCGGGCTCTGGCCTGCTCCATGTCTCCCACCCGACCCGCCCTACCATCGGTGGCCGGGCTTTCAGCCTCTCTACCCCCACACTCTGGAACTCCATCCCACGGTCCCTTCGCCTCGCTTCCTCCCTTGCCTCCTTCAAGGCTGGTCTCAAGACACCACCCCTCCCCCATGCTCGGGCCCCGACACCTGACTGCTCAGCGCTTTAGGATGTCATCCCTACAGCACTCTATAAATGTGATTTGGTTGTTGTTGTTGTTGTAGTGGATGGACAAAGCTTGAGAACTGTCACATTTTGTAGATTAAAACAATAATTCTGTTTCTGTTGCCTAAACTGTGAACTATCATTTTGAGAGCTGTAAAATAAAATAAAAACATGATAGATGTACATCATACATTGTTTTAGGAAATGTGAAGTTTCTATATATTGGTTGGTATGCACTGTATTATGTACAAGAGCCTGTTTTATGTCAAACGTGTAGCATTTTACTCCTATTCACTAAAAAACAACTTTTTGTAATTCAATCATAGGAGAGGAATGTGTGTCTGTCATCATGAATAGATCATTGTAGACTTTTACAATTTCAATCTTATTTCTCTGCTTGCACTCTATTTATTCTCAGTGCCCTTTCTTCCTAATTATCTCTCTCTCACCCCCTCCATCTTCATTTTAAACAACTCAATAAATTTTGCCTTTATGAGGCTGTACATTCAACATTGTGTGATTGTGTGCAGTTTTTCTTGTTTATTTTCTGGCAATATTTTCTGGTTTCATTTTCTGGAGTAGGTTTATGGTGGCTATGAGACAATGCAAAAGATAATGAATCCAATGCTATGAAAAGCTCACTGATCCATATAAAGTGTGCCAGAACATTCTTGTCTATCGAGTAAACACCTGCCTTACTGGATTCCAGAAACCGGATTGAATCCGACACTCAAAATATATATTAAAAAAATTTCCATGGGCCTGTGTGCATGTAGATTCCCGCTGAACCATCTCTCCTATCTCATTCAGAAACCTTACCATCCTTGCCGACCTTCACAACAACCAGGGATATTGATTTTGACTCCCATTGTTTAAGCAGAAGATGGTTTATTCACTGTCTTCTGCTCGTGGGATTCAAACAATTACAATGCTGGTACCAACATTTACTGG